CCCCCCCCCCCCCGCCCAACGTTGGAGTGGGTGACCCTGTATATAGTGACATATAGCTTACCACTACCTACAAACTGGGTGACCCTGCCGACCACTGTAAGCTTCTAAGGAAAGGCGACCCATTTAGCTTCAACTACTAGGTATTGTTGAGACCTTTCTTCTGTGTATGAGTTCCGTTAATGCTGTGTGACATGTGTGATGATAATTGTGTGCCAGTCTGAATCTTATGTGTCAGGTGCTATCTTTGAGTCTGGATGTGCACTACATTACATTAGATTGTTGTCAATGCCTTTCATTTGAGTCGGGCTCCGATGGCTATTGCCTATTCCTCGCGGCCTTGCATCCGGTTGGCTATTGCCAATGAGTAGTCCTTCCTTACACGCTGGTTGGCAGGCGCGTCATTCTCTTTTTTACAACCTTTTAATTGTTTGTCAAAATACAGCGCACCAGCCGACCCTGCTACGCTTCTAAGGAAAATAGGCTCATTTAGCCTCAAGTACTACGTATGGTTGAGATCTTTCTTTTGCGTATGAGTCCGCTCCTTGCTGTGTGTCATGTGTGATGATAATTGTGTGCAAGTGAAAATCTGATTTGTCAGGTCCTATCTTTGAGTGTGGAGGTGCACTATATTACATTAGATCATTGTCAATGCCTTCCATTTGAAGCCAGCAAGGTGGGTATTGCCTATTCGTCGCACCTTTGCATCTGGTCGGGTATTGCCAATGACTACTCCATCCTTACATGCTGGTCGGCAGGTGCATCCTCCTTCTTTTTACAACCTTATAATTGTACGTCAAAAGACAACGCACCTGCCGACCCGAATAAGCATGTAAGGAAAGTAGGCCCATTAACGCAACTCAAGTACCAGGTCTGGGGGAGACCTTTCTTTTGTCTACGAGTCCTGTAACTAGTCACATATAGCTTACCATTGGGTAGAAAGTGGAGGAGGGGGGGAGGGGGACGAGGACGAACCGGAGGAGGAGAATGTCCCAACAAGCAGTCCCAACTATGGTGGAGGGGGACGATGAAAAGGAGGAGGATAATGCAAGGGTGGGGGCCTTCTCTTATACACATCTAGATGTGTATAAGAGACAGGGACGAGGACGAACTGAGGGAG